CACCCTGGTTGACGACCATTAATATAATTTCTACCATTAATAGTATTATATACGGTACTCACTATATTATATTTACCTTTTTACTGTCAATTGATATAAAACCTGGTTGACAACCATCAATATAATATCAACCATTCATATTATTATATACTGTACTCACTATATTATATTTACCTTGTGTACTGTCAATTGATATAAAACCTGGTTGACGACCATTAATATAATTTCTACCATTAATAGTATTATATACTGTACTCACTATATTATATTACCTTGTTTACAGTCAATTGATATAAAACCTGGTTGACAACCATCAATATAATATCTACCATTAATATTATTATATGCTGTATTCACTGTATTATATTTACCTTTCTGTACAGTCAATTGATATAAAACCTAGTTGACATCCTTCAATATAATATCTACCATTAATATTATTATATACTGTACTCACTATATTATATTTACCTTTCTGTACAGTCAATTGATATAAAACCTGGTTGACATCCTTCAATATATCTACCATTAATACTATTATATACTGTATTCACTATATTATATTTACCTTGTGTACAGTCAGCTGATATAAAACCTGGTTTACAACCATCAACACAAGTGCCATTCATACTGTCACAAGTTTGATTCTGTAAACAATTTCTATCTGTACACATTTTCGAACACTCTTTGCCGTATGAAGCTTCGGGGCAATCTGAAAAAATATCATCATATTCAAATAATTAATTGACTTGATACACATATTAATTCTTTGAATTTCATGAAATTCACTTATGGTCTAAAAAGCCACTTTTTTACCAAAATCCCTACAATAAAATTTTAATTTAACGTTTGTGCATTAATTGAAAGAAAAACTCTTGATTAGGTTGTTGATTGTGTATCGTGAACATCATTGGTTTCTTCAATTTGTCGTTCTTATTAATAGATTGCTACTTACGTTTTTTGCAATCAACACCACTAAAACCAGGTTTACATCCCGCTGTACAATTTCCAGTGATAAGATTACATTCAGTGGAACCATTACAATTTCTATCATTACAGGATCTACTACAGTTTATACCATACATTGTCTTATCACACTCTGTAAGATGATTTAATTTTATAAATGAAAAGGAACCAATACAATCTGGAATTTCTATCTGGAAAAGTTGGTAACTGTGATAGATGTGCTACAATATTGTCATTATGAGAATATCTGGGTTTTGAAAAAGAAACTTCTTGAACCTATGATTAGTAATTAGTAATTTGTATTTGTTCCTTTTCATTTATAAAATTAAATCATCTTCTTGAAAACTAATAAAAAATATTTACGACTTGGACCTAATTACGTTAAATAATTGTTTTCTATATTTCGACTTTGGTACTCTATTCATCACGAAACATGCAAATATGTGTTAGTGGATATTTTTTCTCAATACAATATTTACCCTGATTACAAAGTTCTGATTTAAAGCCTGGTTTACATCCACCGATACATATACCATTCATATTGTTACATTCTAGATTTAAACAGTTGTTAGAACAAAGTTGTGAACAATTTCTACCATACGTTCTAGATGGACATTCTGTAATTATATACATGAAGATTATAGTTCAATCGTTGAAAAATGTCCGAATTAAAACACAGACTTATTACAATAGATCACATATTAATAACTTTTATAATATTAACAATATTTTTCAATATTTGAGTTGACCGGGTTTACTTATTTTTTATTTATTATATAGTCTTTTGATAATATTCTTAAGTTTTATGAAAGGAAGTTGAAAACTAAACAAGGGCTTAAGCTAATATTTAAAGCCCAATCACTTTGTAGAGTATATTTAGAAATATTATCACAATTTGAAAGACGAATTAAACTTATTTTGGACAAAGTCATAAGGAAAGAAATGTTATTAAATATGGATTACTAAAGTTAATTGAGAAAAGCAATAAATGGTAAGGTAGACATAAATCTAAAATAGAACTGTAATGGTATTAAAACATCTTTGTGTTGGCAAGTTGGTTTGAATCAGATACATTATTATCGTTGTGGAAAAGATGTTTCATTGTGTTACTTTCGTCTGTTAGATTGTCCTCATTTCGGGCGTAATACCTCGTTATTTTACCTTGTGTACAGTCTGTACCATTATATCCTGGAACACAACCATCATCACATTTCCCAGTAGCTGAATTACAAGTCTGCTTGGATCCCAAACAATGTCTGTCATTACAATCTTGACCACAATTCAAACCATATTTTCCTTCAGTACACGCTGAAACAAAAGCCGAAATAAAACACATGAGAATTAGTAGTATCAATTTACTCTTGAATAAAAAAATAATTGCATAGGGTTTAAATGTACCACTCTAATTCACCTCTACTAGTAAAGCCTATTCTTACAATTATGTACAATCATTCACAGTTTCCCATTGCTGAAAAGTCCTTACAACGAAAATGTTAAATATTCCATCTTCGTCATTTTGTTACAGGATTGTCTTCTATTGACAGTATTACTAATTAGTGTATGGGATTGTTAGTCTAGATTCCAGAAAATTGTATGCAAATAAGACGTAAGAAATGAAAAAGTGATGGTGCAAATGAAAGATACATGTCCCCAATAAAGAAGGAAAACAAACAATTCGATCCAAATTTCAAAGAAGAAATTTTAGCGCTTTTTCATTAATTTAAACATACTCTGATTACAGCTTGATCCAGTATACCCTGGTAAACATCCATCAGTTGAACATATTCCAGTTACATCATCACAAGCTACAGCATCTTTACAATAACAAAACTTCTCACACTCTTTACCATATGTTCTATTGGAGCATACTGTAATATAAAACATATTTACAATAATATTATCTTTACAATAACAAAACTTCACCATATGTTCTATTGGAGCATACTGTAATATAATAAATATTTACAATAACATTATCTTTACAGTAACAAAACTTCTTCACCATATTATGCTCTACTGCAGTGAGAGCTGTCCAATCCCTCACTTTGTGATTAAAACTGCACGTTCATTACGAAGTACTACAGTCATCATGTTTGTCTTGTCACAAATTTAAAGATGTCTAGTACTTTAACTTATAGAGTAAGTAAAGATAAATGTGAATAGGCAGATCGACAGACGGAGGGTCCGGATTCCTGTGGGTTTCAAAAATAGAGAAAACATTAATCTTTGAACAAGGAAATCGGAACATGTGGATAAAAACTTATGTCCTTATTAATATGTGAATGTATAAAACTTACAATACTAATGTTAATTATACTTACCATAAACCTCCACTTCACAAAAAGCATAGTAAAGATTTTCGATAACAATAGTTCTTGAGATATTGATTTTACTACCCCAAATTATTTTATTACAGTTTACTGTGAAGTTTATACTAGATGGTTGAATATCATTAGGTTGTTTATAACATTCAACTGAAGCACCATTATCTTGTATAACATCTATTTTAAATCCTTTTAGAGTGTATAGATCTGTAATAAACCATTAGAATAGATTATTTATTTTACTTTGACATCATTATCTTAACAAACCATAATATAATATGGTAATATACCATAAGATCATATATTATACTATTTAAAAGAATACTACCTCTCTTAGAATGGACATAAAATTAAAAGTCTCATACTTGTCAACAAGTATATATTCATCAGATGGACTTACCAGGTGCCATGACTAAAAAATAGAAACTCTATATAAGACGATTTATCCATTACACTAAATAGTTATTGAAACACGCTTCTAAACATGTTTCAAAATTACTTAATTTAATTAAATATTATTCAGTTTTATGGATTTATTGGATTATAGGGATTCTGTTGTATAGCTATAGATGAAAAAAGATTCTGTTAAGTTTAAACATTTCAATTTTTTGTTCTTCCTCTAAGAGGTAGTATATATGTAAAAGATCTATCTTTAGTTTAGATCTGAACTATAATAAAATATATTAATCAAATTAATTTATCGCCAATTCTTTCAGTGGTATTAAGTCTCTTTTCTTTTTCACAAACTTTGTTTCACATCAATGACAATAACTTTATCATTATAAAACTGAATATGGGCATTGATTAGAACATACGGGCATTAATAAGAACATAACATAGACATGTTGATACAAACTGATTATAAATAATAAGTAAATTACTTACACTCATCGATAGAACTATCAGTATCTCCATCATAAGTATAATTATCTCCTTGTCTATATAAAATATGTATTTGTCTAATAGGATAAGTATCTGTTAAGTTTACACTCCACCATGTATTATTATTATAACCAGTATTCATACATCTATAAATATCTTGTGATCTATCACCATCTACTGCTAGGCCAGGTCTATGATGCTGGAATGTTGATACTTGAGAGGCTGGTTTCGATAATGCAACATTCTCTAAGATAAATTACAGAAACTTATTATTACATATATATACCAGTAATAAAAACAAAGTAGAAAGTTGTAACAATTCCCTCATCATCAGGATTATACAACATACTATATGATATTTTACAGATACATAATAAAATCTTTCTTTACAACATCTTACACAATTGGTGAAGTAAATTTCTCATGGTTCTCACATTTAGGTGAAAACGTGATAAAAAAATACGGCATGACACCATGCAACTTTTTATTAATTCTCATTTGAGAGGTTTTTATTTGTCCATTCACATTGACACCTACAGATCTGATTACAATATCTCATGAAGAGGTCCTTGAAGTCTCTTGCGCAGAAGAAGAAGATGAATTTCGTTATAGAAGAAAAATGTAAAGTTGATTGATATTTGAGAAGAACGATGTAAATGAAATGAAATG